ATTGGACAAAAATTAAAATATCGATTATAGACCAAAAGCAATGGGAAAAACATGAGTTTGGGATCAGAATGTTGCTGTAGTATGCAGGAGAGTTTGTTTGAAAGTATCCAGCATTTTCTTGCTTTTACCCTTTTCCAAAGGAACAGAGGAGTAGTTAGAAACCATTCTGCCAGCACTTGTTTTTTAGCAGGCTTCTGTTTGGATTACCTCATTCTCTTGTGACCAGCCACCTGTTAGTTACTCTGCTGCTCCTATTTTTGGACAAAACTGTTACAGGTTAATACAGGGAGTTCCCTTTTCAGTAAATGGTTGGGAAACAAAAGGTAGGAATAAATGGTCAGATTTCAGTGTGGAGTAGGAACACTAGCAGAGTCCCATAGGATCTGTCCTCTGGTGCTTGCCTCTTTTTCTGGATCATTTCTAAATGAGTTAATAGTTTACTGTTGATACTGGGGATGAACAAATCCATGGAGTGGCTTTTATTGGGATTGACTGAGTGAGGCTCTTAAGTCTGGGAAGGAGGTAGTGAAGAGGGTAGAAAATAGGGCTGTCAAATCCCTGCTGCCACAGGTGTTTTTGTTAACTAAACCCCCAGAAAATAGAACATCAAACCTCCAGAGAGCAGCAGCAAAAACATCCTAATTTATGTGTCAAATTACTTGATTTCTGCATTAAATTATGGAGAGGTGGTTGTAATTTTGAGCATTCGGAATAGCTTCTATCTGGGAATAAGTTAACAGTGCTGGGTTTTTTAGGCTTCTGTTTACTTTTTATTTTGTAGAAGATAAACTTGAGAAACCAGAGAAGCCTGTAAATGGAGAAGACAAAGGTGACTCAGGTGTTGATACCCAAAACAGCGAAGGGAATGCGGATGAGGAGGATCCACTTGGACCCAACTGCTACTATGACAAAACCAAATCCTTCTTTGATAACATTTCCTGTGATGACAATAGGTATGGCCTGCGAGGGGAAGCTTGTTAGTCTGCTTAATGAGTGTTTGCCAGAAGGTGCTTTCAGTGCTCCTCGTTACAATCAGCCCTGAATCGAAAGTGATTAGAGCTCATTTCCACATGCAGTGGGCAAAAAGAAAACAGGAACACAAAGCACAGCAGTTTGTGGGCAAGTGCAATATGCTAATAGGAAGATATTTGAAAGTGTTTTGGAGCCACACTTTTAGAACTTAATTCACAGGCTCTAGAATCTCCTTTCCAGATTTACTAAGGGGGGGTGGGGTGGGTTGCTTGTTTTGCTTTGCTACTAAATTAACACTTGAGTTAAATCAATTATGGCCCTGCTTTGGTAATGGTTCCTAAGCCGATTACGTAACTGTCGCTGCCAGTAGTGTTGTTGGAATGGGCAGATAGCGTCCCAGGAAAATTAAAGCTTATCTTTGGCTGTTGCCTTTTTATTAGACGTGAGGATGTGGATTGCTGACCTATTTTGAATTACAGGAGGGGTAGGGGGATTGTTGCACTCACAGCCAGATACAGTAACATCTGTAACTACGAACTGTTTTCTTGCTTTAAACGATTCTGCATGAGGAGGATACAGAGCGTGCTCTTCTGTGTGGGAAATCCCGCACTGTTAATAGCCAGTTAATGGCACTGGAACGCGTCCCTCTTTGACGAGTTAATGAACTGTGGCAGACACCTGGATTCTTGCAGAGAGGAGAGATTTACAGCGTGGTTAATGTATCGTTTATCAGTTCCCGGGCTGTCTGGCGGCTCTCGGGGTTCTCCCGAGGCGTTTGGCAGCAATCCTGTCCCTTTTGTGTGGCAGGGAACGGCGACCCACCTGGGCCGAGGAGAGGAGGTTGAACGCGGAGACCTTCGGCATCCCCCTGCGCCCCAACCGCGGCCGCGGCGGCTACCGGGGCAGGGGCGTCATCGGCTTCCGAGGTGGCAGGGGACGAGGAGGAGGAGGAGGAGGAGGAGGAGGAGGAGGAAGAGGCTCCTTCCCTGCCCCCCGAGGCTTCCGCGGTGGATTCAGAGGAGGTCGTGGAGGCAGGGAGTTTGCTGACTTTGAATATAGGGTAAAATGCCTTTAATCTTACTATGACCCGATCCGCTGGGCTTGGAAAGTAGTAGTTAAAAAACCTCCTGCTTTTAGGTTTGATGTTGAACTAGAATTTCTTGAATAGTGTTTTGCAGGGACTCTGAGCTACTTTATTGAAAGGCCATTAATGCCAAAATTCTGGTTACATCTTATTGTCAACAGCAGCCAAAAATAGCTGCCTTTCTTCACATGCCCAATACTTGATAGCTGGTATTAGGGGGAGGGGAGGGAGAAAAAGAGAAAAATAAGTTCTGCAGATGGAAAACAAGTGTTAGAAATGTGAATTGCAGGCATTTTTCTAATCAGTGTTGTATAATGTAAAGATTTAGAGGGAGTAATTTAACTTGCTTCCTGTGTGCAACAAACTTGAATTCTTTGTGAATGAGTTGGCAGGAAGCCTATATAGACTGGTGTACTGGTTAGAATTATTAATTAATCAGACTGGTTCAAGTAAAGTAGGCTTTTGCAATTCTGACTGGGACAGAACAAATTCTGATAGTTTACTGCATGAGCAGTTTTAAAGAGTTTTGCAGACAAAAATCTTGGTTTTCTGTTAGAAGTTTTAAATATTTTTAAATAAAAAAGAATAGGGGGTTTCATCACAGCAGATTTCTGAGTACCCCTCAGGTATTCCTTCATTATATTGCAATAATTAACCCTGTGATTTAAGGAAACTTTTGGCAGCTGAACATGAATGGAAATGAGGGATTGAAGATCAGTGATTTGAATTTCTGAATAAAAGAGTTTTGCAGCCTCCCAGCTGAGTGGGAGGTGGTGTAAATGCTGCGGGTTTGTGCCGTGTAGTCAGCGAGGAGCCTCTCCTTGGTGTGTGCCAGCCCTGAGGGGGTGTGAGCAGGTGCCAGCTGAGCACCCAGGGAGGTCTCCTTTCTGCTGCAGGGGGTGGGCAGTGGCCCCCACAGCACATCTGTTCCCAGGGCTGCTTTGCAAAATGAATTTTAACATTGTGCTTTTGTTCCCTCCAGAAAGACAACAAAGTTGCTGCGTAGTCTACAAGAAAGCTGAAACTGGGTGAACGTCTAGATCTTCTTGATTCAGAGAATTAGTTTTGATCTCTGCAAAGAATGAAGTTAATTTGCTGTATACTTGTCACCAGCACTGGGATTTAACTATTTAATTTCAAAGGGGTGTAATGCAGTTACTTTTGAAAAATGGCCATCTTTGAAAACAGTGAGCATTAAATATATTTGAGACAGAAGGATAAGTAATTTCTTATGTATAGTTAATTATAAGCAGTACTTCGATGGAGTTTAAGTATTTTTTCATCACTGAAAGGATTTTTCTTATTACTAAACTGTATTTGATAATTGCTTCAAGTTGTAAGGACAATTGTATGCAGAAGGCCGTCGATACTGTGAGTGTTTTGACCCACTGAAGGTTGTTTTTTGGAAATCCTGTAATATCCCTTTTGAGGTAGTTGTACTTGTATCAACTAGGGTGCTGGACAGTAGAAAACTTGCTTTGTCAGTCAGATATGTACACACAGTAAATACTGTTTCTTAGGCAAAGGAAAGTTTTTATATAGTTGTAAAATTCCATTATATCCCATTGCCAAAGAAACATTACAAACTTTGTATAGCTGTATAAAAAGCAACTAATTTTTTAAAGAATAAACATTTTTAAGTCGGCAAACATACTGTGTTATTGCAGAAGTTGATATGCTGAAGAACACTGAAGTAGTTGGGATTTTTTTCTTTAGCAGCTTTTCAGGCTTCAATGTTTGATTTTATATTTGGACTATAATGAAGTTTTGAAAATGTTCTTCCATTACACGAGACTGGATACACGCTTCACTGCTCTTGCAAGAATTTGATTTTGTAGTTTCTGGCATATCACAGGATTTGACCAAGTTAAGGAGATATTTTCAAAAAAGGAGAAAAGGAATTTTCATATGTCAAGATTTGCAATTAATTTTACTTAGTGAGAAATATTAACTTTTTTTAATAATGGACCAGGCACGTGAGTTGGTGATTCTCCTGGAGTGCCTGGGAAGAAAGTCTGTCTCCATTTGTCAATTCTTGAAATGTTAACTTTGTTGTAATACCTGTAGACATGAGCAATTTAAAGAATTCTTAGTGTTTGAAGTTGTTTGCATTTTGATAGACCGTAGCTTGGAGACAGTGAGACTCGGGTTGTGAGACCGCCAGGTCACAAATGACAGAGTATGGACTTCTGGCCAATTCGGGATGAGTAGTTACAACTTTGATATGCTGAAATAGAAACCTGGTCATTTGTGTCTGTGTATGTAAAAATGAAGGCCACAGGAATAAAGGGATCCAAAGACTACATCACTTTGATCTAATTTGCTGATTTATTTTGTCTTTTTTTACTTAAAAATGTTCAGTGGTGATAAAGATGTGGAAAACTGCACTGTTGAAAAATTGGAATATTTAAAAGTGGTTGATAGAATCTTAATTTTATAACTTTTGTATAGCACTACAAGGAAGTATTTTGTAATTGGTTTCCTTATTAAGGTCAAGTATTTGACAGCTGTAGAAGTTAGGTAATATTGTTTAGTAATGTTTTTTGCATGTTAACAACTGCCTTTTGGGATCCACGAGTCATGATTCTGAACACCTGTTGAGGTTTTTGACCGTAGAGGCAAGTGCTGTCCTGTTGCAATAACTCTTTACTGTCTGAGGTGTTCCAGCTGTAAATACCGGGCCGGGAGCTGCGGCCGGGGCCACCCCCTGGGTGTCCTTGCCGCGCCCGGCCAGGCTTTCTGTTTTGTTTTGGTTTTTGTTTTTTTTTTTTATTTTATTTTAAACCAGAATAAACAGTTCAATAGAAGCGCTGTTGCTTGGTTGTTGTGGGGGTGCTGTGAGGGCGGCTCGCGCCGTTCCCGCCCTGCCGGGCCCGGCCTCCGGGGGGGCGCGAGGGGGGGGGCGCGGCGCGTGCGCGGCCCCGCCAGCCAATGGGAGGCCGCGGGGGTGGGGCCGCGGGGCCCCCTCAGGGGGCGGAGGCGCCGCCATGTCGGTGGTGTTCGTGCCCGAGCGGGCGCGGGGCAAGGCACAGGTGAACCAGGACACCCTGCAGCGGGTGAGCGCCGGCACGGGGCTGGCCGGGAACGGGGCTGAGCCGGGATGGGGCCGGGATTGAGCTGGGACTGATCGGGATTGGAGCGGGAACTGGGCGGTCGGGGCCGGGGCCGGCCGGGCCGGGCCGGGCCGGGGCGGGCGGTGACCGCGCTCTGTCCGCAGCTGCTGGAGGAGAACGACCAGCTGATCCGGTGCATCGTGGAGTACCAGAGCAAGGGCCGCGCCACCGACTGCGTGCAGTGAGTGACCGGGGCCGGCTGTGCCGGGGCCGGGAGGGGAACGCGGTTCCCGGGCCCAGAGCTTAACCACCGCTAAGAAAATGCGTCCGGGCTTATGAAGGGACTTCATCAGAATCATCTTCACAGACGTATAAAGCAAAGCTGAGCCCGCCGGCTCCGTGAGGGTGTTGGCTCAGTGTCCTGTGACAGCCGCTCCCCGCGTGTCACACACCCCCCGAACCAGAACACATTTCCCCTGATTTACCATTCGAGTTTGCTATTTCTTTACCGGTCGGCAACTCCCGATCAGATTGCGGAAGTGACAGGGGTGGGTAGTTGGCTATAAAAGAGCAGGTTACTCAGATACTGTGTTTCCTTCCCTCACAGGTACCAGCATATCCTGCACAGAAACCTCATTTATTTAGCCACCATTGCGGATGCCACACCGCCCGGCACGCAGAAGGCTGCAGACTGACTGACACCTGCACACGAGCTGTGCTGCTTTCAGACTGCAGAAATACTTTAGTTTAGAGTCCCACTGTGTGATCCTGAAAGGCAGGTAAAAAGTGATCTGTACTTGTGTGTTTAAAATGTGACTGTAGTTTTCTATGTAGTACTAGGCTAGCTCTTCCTCTGTTACTGTAATCAACACAGCTTACGGGTGATTGATTGATAATTATCACCGTGCCTGTTTCCCTCTGGAAAACTCAGTGCAGTGTACTCTGAGCACAGCCAGACAGCAGTGCTGGAAGCAGGTTCTGCAGCAGCAGGATCAGCACTTCACCAGGTCCCTGCTACCTCCAGCATGACAGGCAGGCATGTGTTGCCATCAATAAGAGCCATTTGTGTCCTGTATCAGAAGAACTGTGCTGAATAAAGATGTTCTTTGTAAACTGTAGTATATTGTGAATGAATGTAACATGTTAACAAAGGAGCAGCTCAGTGATTCAGTGAAACAAATGTTAACTTTCCTGGGAACCAGGGGACTGCAGCATAACTCAGTTAAGCCTTGAGAGTCCTGGGGCGGGAGTTCACTTTTGCTCACTACCATCCCAGTTATTTACTCTGTGACTGCTAAAAATGCAGGTAAAGTTATCAGTGTTCATCTGCACTACGGGGCCAAAGCCCCTGCTGAGGCAGTGTCTGTGCCATGTCCTCCAGTGCCATCTGCTCGAGAAAGTAGCTTTAAAGATGCTTCAAATTGTACAGTGCATAAAGTTTGGTTTTATAGGATGAGTCAGTAAGTAGGCAGTTGACAATTTTCAAACTGTTAAATAATCCCATGTTAATGAAATAAGATCTTTGTTTACAAACCAAAGTTACAGTTTAAGGTGCTGCTCATTTTCAGCAAGGTGCATATTTTAAACAGGTATGACCTATTAAATGTATATCTTTAATAAAGCAAATAGTTTACTTTTACAGAAGCTTTAAAATACAAACTGTACAGTTCCAGTTCAGAAGCATTAGCTATTCACAAGAAGCACTGCAATAAGGGTAAGTTAACTAAGCACCAAACCCTTGCACTTGGCAGTGTAAGTGAAGTTTAAGGGCAAGACTCATTTGCCAAGTGCAACAATTCTTAAAATTACCAGTGTTCAGAACAATCGGAAGCGAAGGACAGAGTAGCACCCACGTGGTCAAAATGCAGACAAACTTTCTTTGTTGTCACTGATGTAGGTCCAGGAACTCGACAGCATTTGTAATTATGAGTAACTGCAAAAACTAGAGCAATCATTTTGGCACTTGTTAGAAAAAAGTTCAAAATTAAGTGTTTTCATTAACTTCCATTTTGGTCTTAGTATGAATAATCAGTAAGTACAACCAAATTTAGGGTTTAATATTAGATCTAAACGACAAGATTTAGGAAACTCAAAACCATTCATCAAGTTAAATAACCACTAACAGTTTCAGTGGAGGGTTTTCAAAATTATAGTAGTACAGACCATTAACAATTTACAGACAGAAGCCACACTGATTGTGCAAAGCACATTACTGTAAAAAGTCTATGTACAGCAAACAAATCTTTGTAAACATGGTAAGTATGAAGTTTCAGAAAACATGGTGACAATATCATAAATACAGGCAACATTGGCATCCTCAAACAGCACAAAAGGTAACAATCTGGGCCTGCAAATAGAGCCCGTCACCATACAAACAAAAAAGGTGGATGGGCTTGAAATACCCAAATGTTTAATAGTTTTAGTGTTGTGTATACTTTTTATTTATATATATATATAATGCATTTATTTTTTGGTATCTTTAGATATAGATGTACTTAGTTTGTAAAACCAAAACCAACAAATGTGCTTTATCTTCATTGAAAAATTATGTAGTTAGAACTAATAACCCATTTTACTAGTAGTTAACATATTAGAATGATATGACTTAAGAAAAATACAAAAATAAGATTAATACTGTCAAAACTCTTATACCAGAAAATATTGTGGTTTTTAGACTCTTTCAAAGATGAAATATGAAAATTTAAATAAGCTCTAACTATATAAAGAATCTTCTGTAATCTCAATTCATATACAGTGGGATAGCTATACATATATTTACCATTGTTCTTCAGTTTTTAAGCACCAGTCACTCTCCCGGATCCACTTTGGTTGGAAGATAATTCCTAATTCCACAGGTTCACTTAATGGCACATATTGACTGCAAATAATTACTTTATCCTTTTAAAAAAAATAATGTTCTTTTAACTAACTGCTACCCCACGTTTCAGTTTTAGTATCTTCTGAGCCAGCTCACAATTTTTAATCAACTGTAGCATCTGAAATAAGACTTTAAATAAAAGCAAGTAGTCTCTTAGGCTTTGCTTTCCCCACGCTGCAGGAGCCCTGTGTGGTATCAGCTCTGGCCAAAGGCTGCCGGCAGGAACGGGGTGTTTGTTCCAGGATGGCAGGCACGGCACCCACGGGTGCCACGGGCTCCCAGCAGCTCAGGGAGCCTGGGCCACCCACGGGGCAGGGGGGCTGCTGAGCTCGGAGTCAGGAAACTGCCACAAAACTGCCTGCAACTGTTCCTGCAGCAGCTCCCAGATGAACTCACTGGGGTGGCACAGCAAAAGCTGCTGTCACACTTCATTTAAAAAAAGCTGCCCACGGGCCATGGTGAGAATACAAAGGCTCTACAGCTTGTCCTTTAGAAATTTAAACACAAACAGTGTTGAGCAAAGTGACCACTATATATTTGCTCCAACATATTCAATGTGTTTCAGTAAGATGTTTAACTATAAATCTATATGAAAAATAGCTATAAAATACAGTGTTTCTTGTGTGGTAGTCCTTCAGCAGTTCTTTTTAGAAAAAAAAAATGTTTTGAAAGTAAAGGCAATATACACATTTTTAAAAGCATTTCTACATCACAGTTTTGGGCTGTTTCATGTCCACCAACAAACATATTGGCCATATTTGCTCAGCACTGTCAATCACAACTCCAGAGTGTCTCCCCCCAACCCCCTCAGCTCCCCATCAGTGAGATAACCAGGACACAGCCGACCCCCCTCGGGAATGGCAGCGGTGTCGTTCTCGTTTGGCCCCGCGCCGCTCTCCAGCAGAACAGTCAGTACTGGGGCAGGTACGATGGTCTGCGCTCGTGCTTCACCGGGAAGGATTTGAAGCCCTTGTTGATCTGTTTGTGCTGGGAAGCCTGTTGGGATTGTTGCTGCTGCTGCTGGGCGAAGGCGAAGCCGGAGGAGATGCCGGCGGCCGGGGCGCAGTCGTTGGCCCAGAGGGGCGACGGCAGGAGCTGCATCGTGTCGCTCCACTGGCTGACGGGGCTGCCCAGGGGGTACAGGGACGAGCTCTGGCCGGGCAGGGTGCCCGTCACCGAGGACGAGTGCTGCCACGGCGCCTTCGGGGGCCACGTTTTGGTCTTGTTGTCCTGGCAAAACAAAACCAGCTGGGGTCGGCTTCTTTCGATGCCAACACATTTTTTTGGGAGACAACACTTAACAAATCATCTTGGCCCCTCCTTGAGAAGGTTCCACAGACTTGTGGGTCCCTTCCAACCCGGACTATTCTGTGAAATCCAAGCAGTGACCACAAGGATCATCCAGGCCAACTCTTCAGTGAATGGCCCATACAGGGATCAAACCACAACCCTGGTGTTACCAGCACCACGTTCTAACCAGCTGAGCTCATCTCAGGGTCATAACTTATATTTGAAAGCAGAATTGATGCCTATGGAAAGCACTCCGGATTCTTAACACATCTGCCTGTTAAAAAAACCTTTGAATTTACTTCAGCATGACAGAGGGGCCCCAACAAAAGGGAAAGGTGATTTCCAATTTTAATATTTCAATTTGGTGACTTTGCCAAAAGCATCTCGTACTGCTCAAGTGCAGATGGTTTGGGGTTTTGCTGAAGTAACCAATCTGGAGATACAGATGCTGTTCCAGTTGTTTTCCTAGTGCAGACCCCCCCATATGCAAACAGGAGCTCACCTGACTGCGGTCATCTGCTGCAGACAGGAGGGGAGGCGATGGCAGCGTGCTGGGTTCCTGTTCACCACTGCTGTGCTTTCTGCCCAGAAAGAGAGGGACAGTCACTGTTTGTTTATCAATGACTCACCCCCATTGCATGGCCCAGCCTGGCACCCCCACAGTGGCACTGCCCTTCCATCGCCCTCCAGGTACTTTTTGCTCCATACAGGCAAACACAGCAATACAGAAAGAACCTGATCTCTGAGTCCTGGCAGGGGCTTGGCTCTGCAGCCCTTCCTGGAGCCACAGCCTCAGCAAGGTTGTTATAGACGTGAGGGGAAGCTGGGTTAGGCTTTTGAAAATCTGCCAGAAATTGCCTTTTCTGTCACCTGCTCTCATGGCTCGTGTTTCTTTTGGGTTTTTTAAGTCTGTTTTCTGAAACAACTTTACAGACAAGATAAAAGAGCAGTTGAACAGGTGAAGCATCTGCTGAAGCACAGTGACTTGACTGAAGAAAAACATTCCACCTTCAGTTTAAATTTGTGACCTAACACCTGGTACCAAATAGAAATCCTTTCAGAATGCCCATGTGGTCAAGATTCTTTTAGTCTTGTGGTTTGGATTTTTTTAGGGGGTGGGATTAGGTGGATGGGTTTAGATCAAAGCAGAATCTTTTATTTCATCCTTCCTTTAATAAAACCCAAGCAGCATGCTCCAATCATCAGGCTCCATGGGTAAGCAGCCCTTTGCAGGTCAGCTTTAGCACACCCAACCCTTTGGCCTTCTCTTGCTGCCCAGGTTTAGCTCTTGCTATTTTGTCAGGCCCTCAACTGAAGAACATTTTTCTTGCTAAAAGGAACATGAGACAGTAGTACTGTTACTTCAGCTGAAGTTTTTGTTCAGTGAAGCACATTCCTTGGGAACTCCCATCTGCTCTTCAGAGCTCTACATACAGCACAGGCTTTTCTTGTTCTTGCTCCATGAGTCACTCCATGATCCATCTCTAGCTGTCTGCTGGCTTGGCAGGTTAATTCATCCCTTAGGTGCTATTGTGTTTTTTTTTTCCCCTGCTGCTTTTTTTAAAAAATACAAGTAATTCCTTTCTCTGTGATGTTTATGCAGTGGCTCTCTTCCATCAACTTCAGTTTAGCATTCACTGAAGCTCAGCTCCTGTTCCCTCTCTATAAAGTCTTGCTAAGTGTAAAGGTTCAGAAAACAACTGCTCTTTTGGTCAGTTCCTTTCTGACAATGCCCATAAAAACAGCTACCCAGGTATATCCTGGGGGAAAGTGGCTTCTTCTGGTCACCAAAACGCAGACAATCTTGTATCTAAAGGTATTGACTGAATTATTTTATGATGTAAACAAAACCAGAATTCTTGGCCACAGAACTAACTTGTTCTATTTTTCAAAAAGTCTGAGAAATAGTTTGAGAGAATGATCCCAGATCAGAACTGGGTTGGTA